CCGGTCAAGGGCATGTACCTTGGTTGCGGGCACATCCCCAGCAGGGGGTGTGCAGGAGGCAGCTGGTCAATGTCTCTCTCTCATCGACGTTTCTAGCTCTCTATCCCTCTTCCTTCCTCTCTGTGGAAAATCAATAAAATATTTTTTTTTAAAAAACTAAAAAAAAAAACTAAAGTTAATACCTTGCAGAGTCCAAATTTAATTAGGATGCCATCTATCCATAACATAACCCTTCCCCCTAAGTCTATAAATGTTAAGAAACAAACTTTTACTTGATAATTTTTTAAACATATCTTTTAAGAACAAAATAATCAAGCAAGCTCTCTTTTGTGCTTAAACTTAGTATTATTTTCAAAATTTGATGCACCCCATACAATTTATACTTAAAGAAGAGTAATGACACTGGTCCTGTTATATTTTTACACATAAAATAGTATATTATGTACAATATTTATGAGGATAAAGTGGCTGATACTAATTTGTTTTTCGATTATAACTTGGGACACAGTTACAAACTGTTAGTTAATGAATCCGCTCTGTACTCTGGCACCACACCTCTCCCCCAGGGGGCTGGGGAGAAGGTTGGTAGTTTCAGGATGCTCTCAGCTCTGTGATTCAGATGAAGAATCTGAATCACAGATTCAGAGGTTAGACAGTCAGTGTCTAAGGTGACCAAACTCTTTCAGAGAAGCTTTCCTTGCAACACCCACCTCTCAGGGTCTCTTTCTGTTAGGGGAGCTCTAGAACAGTACTCAGAAATTCTACCTTACTGAATCCTTCCCATGGTACTGGCCTGTTCCTTCTTTTAAAAGGACGTGTCCTTCCTCTTTATAAAAGTAATCTGAGGGTTTAATGTAGGTAAGTACTTTTTCATCTATAGAATATAAACATGTACTTAAGACTTAATGTATACTTTGTATTGAGGACACATTAAGTATTAGGAATAGCACTAGATAGCTTGCAAATGTTCCTTCTTTTAATTCTCAAACAGCCCTGCAAGCTTGATATAATTACACTCCATCCATATAGGAGCTCCCTAAAGTTTCCTGAGGTTAGGTGTCATGCCAAGGTGAAACAGCAACAAGTGTTACAGTCAGGATTTCAGCTTCAGTCAATGGAAATACAAAGCCCATTCTTTTTCACTACAATCCTACCTCTAAATAAAGGCTCTATTTTCTGTGTACACAACCAAGGCAATCATACCACTTAATGACCTTAAGCAATGGACTGAAGAAGAAAACAATTTCGGAACAACATATCCTTTAGCACAGCTTGACTGAGAAGAAACCCAAGTAACCATACAATCCATGCTTAAATTCTAGAACAGACCTGGAAAACTCAATTTGATTCTATAAATTTTTGTAGTTTTGATGCATAAAATAAAGGAGGGAAGTGACATGCTTATGATGCATGAATAATATAACTTTCTATCTCATCCAAAGTGAAACTTGAGTTTTCACCATAAGTTCTATCCTAGTCACATTATCAGCAGATGCATAATGAAAAATAATAACAAATAGGACAAACACAAGGAATTTTTTGGTTTTGGGAAATACCTAATAAATATCAGGAAATTCTTTTTTTAAATGTAGAAAAATCCTTTTTATAATAATAGTTCTTCTTTAGGCTTTGATATAAAATTTGGCTTATAAACTTAACATGGCCATATTTTGCCTTCTTACAAAAAAAAATCAAGTTATCAAATAAGGTATTCACAGCATCTATAAATTCTATTGAAATAATTATACTATGCCCACCAATATTAGAACATTTTGCATGATAGTTTTAAGTCATTAGAATGAAAAATTGCTCAGCATAGCAGAAATGCTTAAGAGTCAAAATTTTGTATGCCAGTAAAAAGGAGATTCCATACAAATAATAACAAAAAATAAAATTTTTAGCCAACACCTTTCAGCAGATAATGCACAAATCTGGAGGCTTTATTTCTGTTAGTTAGTTCCTACCTTTACACATTTATAGAAATTGCAGGACCTTATCAATCATTTATCTCTATGCCCAAAGAGGGGAACTCTGTCCTTAACCAATGAATTCTTAGCATCTGTGCATCCATAAAATTCTGCTCTACAAATCCAAATATCTTACCTAACAAAAGAAAAACATGCAAATTAACCATCACTCCACTATGCCCACAGCCAATCAGAGTGAGTATGTAAATTAACCCAACAAATATGGAGGTTAATTTGCATATGCAGGTGCAGAGTGACCATGAGGGGCAGGATGCCTGCTATGAGAGGAAGGGGGCGGTGGAGGGATCTACAGGAGCAGTGTTCTGGACAGAAGTGAGGACTTGCCGGCTCCCGGGTGGGCAGAGAGCTTGGATATGCAGGCTCCCGGGCGGCCAGAGAGCAGGGATGTGCTGGCTCCCAGGTGGCTTGGAGTAAAGCTAGGGGAAGGAAGGCCTATTCTTGCACAAATATCGTGCAATGGGCCTCTAGTCTACCTAATAAAAGAGTAACATGTTAATTAACTGTATTTTAAATTATTAAAGTATTTCTAGATTATGTTGAAAAATTTGAAATTAAAAATGTTTTACCAAGGCAAATCACTACTGAGGAGAACTGTCAGTATGGGGTGAAAATATGAGTAAAATAATAGGTCTGATAGATACTAAGAACTCAATAAATGTTAGTAGCAGCTACTACTATTACTTCTATTGCTACTATCTCTACCAATACAATAGTCCCCCTTTTCAATTATTTCAGTTACCCAAGATCAATCATAGTCTGAAAATATTAAATGAAAAATTCCAGAAGTAAACCATTCATAAGTTTTAAATTGCACTTAAATTCCCTTTAAATTTAAATTCTGTTCTAAGTAATGTGATGAAATCTCACACAATCCCAACTCCATCTCTTTGTCCAGCATATCATCTCGCACCGTCACAAGAAGGAAGGTGAGTACAGTACAATAAGATATTTTGAGAAAGAGATATTTATGTAATTTTTATTGTAGTATATTGTTATAACTATTCTATTATTAGTTATTGCTGGGACTCTCATACTGTGCTTAATTTGTAAGTTAAACTTGACTATAGGTATGTACATATTGGAATGGGTGGAAGTATATATAGGGTTTGGTACAATCTGGAGTCTCAGGTGTCCCCTGGGATCTTAGAATATATCCTGCTCAGATAAGGGGGTACTATGGCAAAGATAGAAATTTAAAGAGATCTGACACAGACATCTGTGGCATATCAATATCTGTTACTCTTTACTTTCTTGTAAACAGAGTTCTGATTTTTGCTCAGGAATCTACCTCGTAGGGAATGTGACCTTAACCCCATTAGAAGCATATCTGGATTAGACTAAACCAATTATAGTAATCTCATTCCTTTTGCCCATGGCTGGTTAAAGAGTAGGCATGTGGTCTCATATCCAATAAAACATGAAGAAAGTTAGTTAGCTAAGAGAGCAGGGGAGGAGCTTTGAGGATATGACATTCAACTCATTTTCAGTTGAATGATGGAGGCAAAAACCTGACAGGAGCAATTTTAGGAGAAAATGAGAAGAGGAATTAGGTACAGTAAGTACAGACAACATTTTTGAGGGATTTTGTTACAAAGGAAGATAAGATGTGAGAAAATAACTGGCTGTTTTTTTGTTTTTTCATGATAGGAGAAATAACAATAGGTTTGTATACTTATGGAAAAATCTAGAAGATGTTGGAAAATTATCTGCATAATTATGGCATAACCAAGAATTAAAATAGATATAGGGTTAGAGAGTAAAGTTAGAGAGTAATGGTCTGATGACATGAAAGTAAAAGCTGTGGTTTTGTGTTTTTTATTTAATTTATCTTTATTGTTGAAAGTATTACAGATGTCTCCCTTTTGTCCCCTTTTACCCTCTCCGCTCACCCTTGCCCCACACCAGGCATTAACCACACTATTGTCTGTGTCTATGGGCTATGAATATATGTAAATATGTTCTTCAGTTAATCTCTTCCTGCTCCTCCATCTCTTCTCTCTGAGATTCAAGTCTGTTCCATGACTCCATGTCTCTGGATCTATTTTGTTCATTAGATCTCACATGTAAGTGAGGTCATGTGATATTTGTCCTTCCTTAACTGGTTTATTTCGCTTTTTTTAAATCCTCAATGGAGGATATTTTTCCGTTGATTTTTAGAAAGCGTAGAAGAGAGAGGGAAAGACAGAGATAGACATCGATGTGAGGATGTGAGAGAAAACACATCAATTGGTTGCTTCCTGTACAAGTGCCAACCAGGACTCAGGCTGGGAAGGAGCCTGCAACTGTGGTTCATGCTCTAAATCAGAACTGAACCTGGGACCCTTCAGTCCACAGGCTGACACTCTATCCACTGAGCCAAACTGCTTAGGGCATCACTTATTTTGTTTTATCTGGAAGAATCATGAGCTATCAAGAGAGAGCCAATCTACTTTCAGACCCAGTCATTCAAGAGCCTAGGGAGAAAACCAACTTTGAAGAGCTGCAGAAGAAGCAGTATCTCCAGAGGAGAGCCCATTTCCATTAGAACAAGGTGAAAGGAAGGAAAATTCATAGGAGTCAAGAATTTTGCTGATGGTGGATCATGAATTCCTGAGGCACAGAAGAGTTTCAACAGCTGGCCAGAAGCAGGAAACAGAAGAGGGGATATGCAGAGCCTATGGGATTAGATGTGGGAGTGTAGGGCTTCTTGCAGTGGCAAATATGAAGCAGGATAAAGGGCATAGTAACTGTGCTGGACTCAAGAAACATACTGATGGTAAAGCTGTGAGCGTTTGAGGGACCAGGGCAGTTGGGGGCACAGGGTATTTCCTCCTAGTGCTGGTGCTCTTCCTCTTGGACTCCTGTTGATGGAACTCATAGACCTAGGCTGATTCCCTTCATTATTAACAACTTTATAAGAATGAATGTCATCATCACACATATGGATTTCTGATCAAAAAGCTTACAATTTTTAAAAATCTCCCTGCTCTGGGAGAAAAGTAATTTTTCATAGCAGAGTTTGGTTTTACTTACATCTGTGTTACAGGAGCGATACCGTTTCCTTTCCCCAAGGCAGTACTTTCCACCTCCTGAAGGTCTGAAAATACATTTTATTTAACATGTGAATATACTATATTTATCCACATAAAGTACATATATTGAATGATGAAAACATATTAACATTCACTTCAAGAAAATACAAAATTGGACATTTTATTATTATTTTAAAAAATCATGCTGGGGACTGTTAGTAATAATGATTATGATTGTTGAATGTTAAACTTAAGGCAATTTACTATGAGTAACTTTACAAGACTGTTAATTGTCATAATTTACATTAGGAAAATTCAATTAAATCATTGTATTTTTTAATTGTCATAGTAAACAGGTGATTAGTTTAATTTGAGGTTCCAGCTTAAAATTCAGTTATTTATGATGAAAAGCCACTTGAATCATATTCAACAAACCCATCATCCGATGCTATTTGTTCATCAAGTTGGGAATGAAAAGTTTGATTTTTTTCCAGACTGAAAACAGGAGAGGAAACTAAATGACTCTCTGGAAATAGTTTCAGTTCCAAGTAAATAATGCAGAAATGAATTTCTCATTTCGAATATACAGTTTTAAAAAGTTAAATCTAAACACCTAATGGGTTTGCACTATATAAATACTTTAAATAATGCTCAAATTAATGAAAACGTGAGATGTCAAGTATTTTATTTCCATCAATTAATTTTTAAAGTATTCAACATTAGGGAGAGCCATGTGCTATTATTTGAATACTATTTTTGAAAGCTAACTTGTTCTTTTAAAAGAGGTCCTGTCATGCTCTTAAATATCTGGGTATATTATTGATTATTATAGGGTTTTATAATTTTGGTTATTATTCTACAGTAGCCTACAGTTGAACTTAGGTTAATTATTCTGTACTTGTTTTAAACGTAGTAAAGTCTGAATTACAACTTTGGCTTACTGAAATCAATGGGACAATTTAAGTGACGATTTTGGATATGTTTCGAATGCCAGTGAATGGCGACTCTAAGCATGGAAAACAAATGGCCCAGCTTGAACCAGCTTGGGAGAAATGGGTGGATCAGACAAAAACAAAGTAATAGGGATGGTGGTAGCATGGCTGGTTTTTGCGCAGGTGACAGTGAGCGAGCTCTGTTTAGCAGGAGGCTAAAAATAGATAGAAAATGGGAGAATGGAAACACAGAACTAACATCCAGGGAAATGATTTGAATCTAAAAAGAGAAGAAAAGAGACATTTAGAGAGAGGAGCCAAAGAGAGGGATCCTGAGTTACAATGAGGGAAAAATAAATAGAGACCATCTTTTACCCCAGAAGGAAGAAAAACAGCAGAAGTGATGTATAATATCATCACCTGGTTATGCACCACAAAGGCCATCAACCTGAGCTCGAGACAAGAATGTAAGCCCTGACCTGCTGCGGCCGCTAAGAAGCAGTTCAGTCCCCAGAGGGGCAGGGAAGACCATGCAGAAGGGCAGTCCACCTGCAATGGGCAGTTGGGGTGGGGGTGGGGGGGAGCACTAGCAAAGCAAAGAATCCTGATGGGGCTGGCCTTCTGCCAGAGGGGCTCCAGCTGGAGGAAACGATGGAGGGAGAGGAGCAGTCTGACCTGCATAAAACAGCCACGGGGAGAAAAGTGGTGGCAACTCCGGAAGATGATTAACGGGGGCATGTGAAAGGAAACTATTCTAACACATGGGCAGTATTCTTTTCATTGTGATTTGTGATGCGAATCAAGGCATTTCAGCCCTTGAAGGGCTCTCGTTGGTCCTTTTAATACTACTGTAGCAGTAATAATTTTCTGTGACATGTGAAAAGACCTCAGGTTTCCTGGGAATAATGGTACTGTAGCGAAGACCAGACCTGGATTCATCCATAATTCAGTAGTTTTTTTGGAAGAGGAAATCTATCTGATTATTAGTAGATTAAGCAGTTTGGCTCTACCTGGGGTAGATACACAATGCTTGTCTTTTTTTCCGCCCCCCCCCCCCCCCCGCTTCCTTTTATTTTTAGCCGCCGAGGAAGGGGCGAGGAAGAAAAGGAAAGTCTGTCTAACAAGGCTCCTCGGCTCTCCTTGCCTAGCTCTTGTTCTGAAGACAAGCACTTGGCCCGGGAGGGAAACGTTTTTACAGATAACATGTGAAACCACAGCTTTGAATCGTTTCCAACTGTGTCTTTTTGTTGGCTGCGGCTTACTTTAGCTACTTACGCTGGACTGTCACAGCGTCTCAGGGATGAGGAGACGCCTCCCCCGCAGGTCCGGCTGCACTTCCCCCACAGGGACCAGGAACCCCAGCCCCCGTCCACGCTCTGGGGCGAAGTGCCAAAAGCAACACAGTCTCCATGATAGCACCACTGCAAGATCGCACAGAAAACACAGGATTAGCTTTTTAGGCAGCTACAGCTATTGGGACAGAAATACAACAAAGTTCAGGCAATGACCCATGACAGGCATTAGCATCCTCCCAATATAAGACAGCAGAGTTCTTTAACGGTGTTTACACATTTGGTGATGGTGCGTGTGGTTTGCAAATTATCTTTAGCGAGGCAGTGATTTCAAAATCTCTCACATGTACCGGGAGTCTAAAAAAACACGAGTCTACTTCTCTCCCCTTACTGTTTCACCCACTCCAGACTTTTCGTGTTTCTCATTTATGGAGACCTCAGAAGTCTTTTTTTGATAGTCTAGTATTTAAAAAAAAATTTTTTTTTCTTTCTTTATATCCCACTCTTCTTAGACTCATGGAATGATAACGCAATATGGAAAGTTCCCGAGTAAGGAATTTTTATGATGGTAATTGCTTTTTCTTTAAGAAAAAAAAGAAAAAAAGAAAAAGAACGAAAGAAAGAAAAAGAGAAGGCTGGTTGAGGATACAATAGTAAAAGAATGTGTTGTGGCATTTCATCTACACGAGTCCTGCAGACATAATAAAAGCAATGCCAAGACACGAGGGACTGGGTACAAAAAAACCCTTATGCACACCGACCAGCCATGTGCGCAGCCCCTGCACGAACATGTGTATTGGAATTCTTCTCAGCTTTACTCTCTGCAATAAACCACACATACTGCACCTAAGTAGAAAGCCAGGAATAATTTATCGAGATGCAGACATCAAATAGTCAGCTCATAACTCTTAACATGCAGAATGTGGTAAAAAGGAAAGCCATTTAAGCAGCGGCAACAACATCATCAACAAGCATTTCTAGGCTTTTGTCGGTGCATTTTTGTGAATTGCCATCAAACATCAAAAACCATACTGATGCTATGAAAAGTCATTTGTTTGCATGAATAACAACATTAGAGTTGAGTAACTGTCAGCAATGTTAGCTAGCTAAATAAAAATCCAGCCTTATATTCAAACATACTGGGATTAGGACATGTGATGCTTAAAATAATCATTGTGCAATACTAATTCAATATATCCAGGATTTTTTCACTTTTCACCTTTTTCACTGCTACCAATGGCAAGTGGAATAGCTTCTTAGCTGGTCCCCCTACTTCCACTTTTTCCTACCTATAACCAATCTGTTCTCCAGTAAGCATTCAGAGAGATCTTTAAAAAAAACAAAAACATATTATCACATCATGTCTCTTTTGTGCTTAAAAGACTCTGGTCTGCTGTGGCCTATAGGAACCAGCTCTGCCTCCTTCTCCAGTCTCTCTCTCTCTCTCTCTCATTGCTTCAGACACACCAGCCTTCCTTCCTTTCCTCAAGCACTCAGCCCATTCCCTCCACAAGGCACCTGCATCTCTGGTCCTTTTGGGAATACTCTTCTCACAATACAAGGAATTGTATTGCTGTGTTCTCTTCATTCGGTTCCAGGTCAAGTGCCATTTCACCAGAGAGCTCTTTCCTTGATTGGCCACCCTTATTCCAAAGTGCAACCTCCAGGACTTAATAGTTTTAGTTCACACTACTTTAAATTACCCTGTTTATTTTTCAAATTACTCCATTATTGTCTGTCTCCTCTCATTAGTATGTAAAAACCTTCATGTAACAAGTGTGGCTATTTAAATTTAAATTAATTAAACATCCAGTCCCTCAGACCCACATTCCAGAGCTTCATAGCCACACGTGTGGCTACAATGTTGGGCAGAGCAGATCCAGCACGTCTGTCACCACAGAACGTTCTATCTAGGACAGTGTTTAGCATGTAGGAGATAAGCAACAAAAATCCACTGACTGAATGACAAAGTTAGTTCAATTCTAGAATCCTGTGTTCTGTTTTGGTTGCTACATGTCAGGAAGGAACTGAAACTACTAGAGGGCAAAGAGAATCAAACTCACCTTTCTTTCCCTGGTAGCCAGCATGGAGCAAATGTTTTAGTAGTTGTGACAACATAAAAGGCTTTTTAGAGAAGTGTTAAGCAATTATCATTTGTCCGTTAAAAAAAATTAGGCAAGAAGAATTCAAATTTTGGTTGGCTATAAGGCAGAACATTCTGAGCCTTAACTTAGTAGATATTAAAGTAAGACATTAAAAAAGATTATGAGTTTTGACAATGAAAATTACCATGAAAAAAAAAAAAACCAATACCCATCTGTCCAAAATGATGAAGCAGAGATAATACAATATCAACTGGCTGAACGAATATAATACAGTATCAACTCTGGGAGTAGGACTGCTGATAATGTACATGGAGAGGGAGAGCATGTGCCAGCTGCCAGCTTATAGCTTACCTAATTGGTCTTAAAGACCAATCATTTGTAGAATGATATACCACCAATTGTGCTAGACCTTCACCTATATAAGAGTCACATTAGGCCAAATGATCTCTGTTTTTGCATTTTTGTTATTAGAAGTATCTGTGTGTACAAACATCTAAGCCTGTACCTATTTTTTCTCTGAGAATGACTGAACAAAGTAGTATTGACCAGTGATGACTGATTTGGGCCATGGTTTCAATTAATGTCAACACTTAAAAACTCCAACTCTTAAAATTTGTCTATTTTTTCAAGTTGGAAATCTAGCATTATTGATTTCAAATAACATTAAAGTTTGATTTTACATTTTATAAAAGCACAGAGCTCTAAAGCTGAAAAGAACTTAAGCATTCATGAGATCTAAGCACCTCATTTTTTCAGAGGAGGAAACCAGAACTCTACAGCAGGTTGACCTGCCCAACATTACTTAGAAAAAGAGGAATTATCTGTCCAAAAATCAGTGTGTGTGTGTGTGTGTGTGTGTGTGTGTGTGTGTGTTGGTGGAGGGGGGGAGGTAGGGGAGAGGAGAATCTATTGGAGGTGTAGAATTCTATATTTGAAAACATTAAATAACATTCCACTATACTTTACTGAACTGTTTTTACTACATAAAATACAAAATAACACTAGAGACTGAAAATGAAAAAAATTCACTTAGCTATAAGTGAACGGCCACATGTTATTTCAGACCTCCTTGGGTACTCTTATAATTGGTAAAGAAAAAATCACTTTCTGCATTTTCAGGGGCTAAAGGAATCGTGAAAGACATAAGAGAGATGTAGGTTCCAAAGTATTTAATAACATTGTTACACGTTTCCTGGAGACTCACAAAGTGTAGGACATGGAAAGAAGTCACACAAATGATTTTGTTTTCCTTTTAAAACCTATCCTTAAGGTAAAAGATAAATACAAGATTCAGCTTACAAAATGTTGCTCCATTCTCATGATTATTTAACATTTACACAGTATTTCATAACTGGCTTGCTAGAACCTTGTACTGCATAAATTCATCCTATTGATTATATCTATTCCATGAAATTCTAACATAATAGACAATGATATCAGATAGTTAAATAACAAATACTAAGAGGTTAAAAAAGAATTCATCTATAATAATAAAAACATAATATGCTAATTAGACTGGACGATCTTTCAGACATCCTTCCTTCCAGACAAAGCCTCAGTGGGTAGGGGCCGCAGTAGAGGCCCCAGCTGTGGCAGTAGTGGGTGTGGGGAGGGGGGGAGGGCCAAGGCTCTTGCATGAATTTTATGCATCGGGCCTCTAGTAGTAGTAGTAGTAATAATAATAATAATAATAATAATAATTAATAATTAAGTATCATCCATCTACGAATTGACAAGAGACTACTGTTTAGTTTAATAACTATAATTAACAACTTTGTTAACTAGTCAACAACTTCAGTCTGTACAGGGACAACTTCACTCTGTGTGTAGTCCGTGTTACAGACCTGAGTTCTCATTCGAACAGTATCTCTGGTTTAAAGCAAGTCATTTATTTATTTTCTTTAGTTTCCCTAACTATAAAATGGGGACTCACTTTAGTTTTCGATTCCAATATGGCTTGGATTAGGACAACTTTAGACATTACTTCTGTGCAGACATACCTTCAAAGAACTTAAAAACACATCAAAGGACTTGTTTGACTTTTCGTTTTTTGTTTAGCTTCCCCCCACCTCGTATTTATAGGAAGGGAGCTCTTTGGAATTCTTGCTACTTCCTTCCTCTGGTAGTAGCAAGTGTCTTGATGTAGCACATGCTTTTAAGAGAAGAAACTTATCTAACATAATAATAACTGCTTTAAGAAATCCATAGGAAACTTCATATGGATAAAGTTATTTGAGCTAATTTTCTAGATAATTACATCAATCAATATATACTGATTTAATGTAAGTCACAAGTATAATTAGATTATACTAAGTAAAGCAACCTGAAGTATATAAATCCTATAAGCACATAAGGTGAAATTTTTGAGTGTTGTCTTTTCTATTTTTATTCTTTTTTTTTTTTCTTTGCCTGAAGTTGCCAAACCTTTACAAGCTCTATTTTCAAAATCATGGAATTTTACTTCTTTTCTTAAAAGAGAAAGCGTGAAATCTTCATATGGGAATCTTTATTCTCTAAGATTATATCTAATCTAGTGATGTATTCTAAATATCAGTCATATTAATTCAGCCCAAATTATCCAGATAAATAATTTTGCCTTCTTTTTGCTATTTCAAGTGTGTTTAACCAGGTTTAGAAAGGTAAAAGTGAAATTATCACATTCCAAGAATAAGTTCTCAGATTGTTCAAGAATTCCTGCTTTTCACATTCCTTCAAAGTAAAACAAATATATTTAAAAATTATCTAGAAAGACAATATACTCTAGTGAAGCTTTAAAAAAGAAATCATTATTAAACAACATCTCTGCTGAATTTCATAATCCACATCAAGAAATTGTCTTCAAGCAAGATACATTATAAATTCAAAAATCTAAATTTGAGAATTTTTCAGAATTCCACAAAAATTTTTCAAGATGAGTATACTTCTAAAACGTTTTATTTAATATTGAAAACATACATATTTTTTAACTAGAGTCATTGTAGGATGTGATTATAGATCTTGTACCATAGCCAGCTCTGGGTCTAGCCAGCATCTGGAATGAGAGATCTCTAAGGAAATCCTAAGATTTTAAAGCAAGGGATATTGATGATTCAATATAGAATGTTCTTCCCAAGTCAGAAAAGTTAAAAGTTAAAGCACAGCACTATTAAAGGCCTTATCTTTCCACTCTCCAGGTGCAGGAATGCTGAAGCTTATTCCAGCCCAAATTCTAAATCAGAACTTGTCATCCCATGCTATGGAAATTTCTAGAGCAATTCAAGAGCTAGTTTTGGGACCCAGTTGAAACATGTTATATTCTACTCCAAGATCTAAGGCTGCAAATGTCCTATTGTATAGCAATGCTTTAGAAGGGTCTATAATATTCCTGGTCTAAGCCAGCCCTGTGTTTCCCATACAAAGATATTAAGAAATGCTGGGCGATATCTCTAACTGGATCTTGTAGAATCATCAAATCAATCTTTTGGAAATAAACCAGGTATTCTAAACCTTCTTTGTGGTCAAAATCAGAGCTTGCATTGATATCTTGTTCCATAACAATGCCCATACTGCTATCAAAGTTCTCATAGACTAAATCTTTGTTTACTATTTCATCAAATATGGCATCCCTCCAATGCCTGTCCAAAGTACTACTGCTGATGCCATTTCTAAAGAAAAAATTTTGGGTTAAAGTTATATTGATTTATTTGCAGGCGTTTGACCCGTGGACACACAGTACCAACCAGCGCACTGTCTGGGCTCATCAAATTTCTTCCTTTGGTTAATGCTACTGTCCCTAAGCACATCCATTCAGACCATATGGTTCTTATTCAATCCTTGAATGGCTTATTCAGGCAAACATCCAATGGCTGTAATAGCGATGTCAGACCCCCCAGGACTCATGCAAAGATCAGTTTTTAATTTTTTGGCCATATTTCTTACTCCATCTGCTAAATGTGCATGGAACAGTTCCCATGCTTACATGGAACATTTGTGGAACTGCGCCTCGGGCAGGGATCCCATATCTTTTGCAGCCAGAGTTTGACAAGATCATTGTGGATCCAGTCCTCTGGATTTGTCTATGCTATCACTTAAGCAATCCTTCTCCCCTCACCATTTAAAACAAATTATTCAAAAAAACTATGAGCAGCTTTGTTTTTATCCTGCTGGCTAGACAGGATGTAGGTTCCTTCTTGTTTCTTCTGATGAGAGTAGTTTTGAAATTTAGAGCTAAAATCAGAAGTCGTGGATATTCCATTCATGTTTCGGAGGCACACAAATTTATCCTTATAGTCTCTAATGCTTGCTACTGCCAGGTAAGATAATCTGACAAAGAATTTTCTGCCCCACAATCATCTAAGGCTGGCAAATAATAACCAAAAGTGGCGATGTTGCTCTAGTAATATATACTAGAACCGTCCTTCTTCAAAAAACCATAAAAAGTTCACTGAGATAATATCTCATTTCATCCTCACAACATTTCTATGAAATAGGTAGAAATAGGTTACTTCTCATTTTAAAATGGAGATTCATTATTTTGTCAATTGTAACACAATCCTATATTCTTAGCTAATGTTTTGCCTACAGTGCATTCCTACGGTGATTCCTGAGATAAGATGCTGTCACAGGTAATTAAGTAAAAACCCCACTTAGAATTAAAGGATAGAATACATTGTGATTACCAATCTCAAGCTCAGTGACTCATTTTATTCCCATGACAATGAAAATTTGCTTTTTTTTCCTCTACAACATTTCCGAGCTAAAGGTAAAGTAAAATCAGAGGCAATCAGTTTCCAACTTTGGAATTAAAAAGATCTGGGTTGGAATCTCGCCCTGCTATTAAATTGTTGTGTAATCTCAGGCTTTCAAGTTTAAGTTTCCTCATCTGCAAAATGGAAATAAAACAACTTCTACCTCATAGGACTTTGTCACTATAAGGCACAGAACAAATATGTGTCTGGCACAGTGTAAGTACTTGAAAAATATTCAGTATCACCATCATCATTATTTGTAATGCCAACTATTTTTTTAATTTAAAAAAATCTTTATTGTTGCAAGTATTACATAGGTTCTTTCCCGCCTCCCCCCTCTCCCCAACTAACCTCTTCCAGACTGCTCCCAGTGCTAACTATTTTCAGCTGGCAAGAACACAGACTGGCCACACAAAGTTGACCTGACCAACCGAAAATTCCACTTTGATTTTTGTCCCTAGCTCTTTTTTGCATGGTTGTTTTGAGTCAAAATGCTGAGCTCTGGTTTAATTTCCAGACAGATATAACTCTAGATGGAAAATCTGCAGTTTGGCAACAATAAACACTTTTCTTTTAAGGAGAAAAATAACTTAAATCATCACCAACAAAAGTTGTAAAAAGATATAACAAATGTAGTTACTAAAAAATAAATTAAGAACTGCTGAGCTCAAATGTCCTTTTTTTTTCTGCTTAAAAATGTAGGTGGATCTAGTTCTTTAAAAACATCTTCAAAAAATCAGTTAATGATAGGAAGATATTCAAGGTCTTCTCCTAGAGTGCTGTCCTTTTTCTTTCTAGGAGTCTACATGTGTTTGTTTTAGTTCATTCATTTTAAGACTTAGCACCATTCCTAAAGCTGTCTACTGACCTTTCATAACCCTGGAACAACAGTTAAGATTTTTGTTTGGCAGAATAATTTTAGATGGTGAAATCCAACGTGCTGACTTTATCAAACTAAACTCTAATGTTGGGAATATAAAGGACCTCTTGGTACACAAGCTTTGCTACACTTACAAGCTTCTCAAATAGTTTTTCATGGAATTCAAGATGTTCTGTTGATGTACATCAGAAGCCGACAGGGTAAGGAGTCAGGTAAGGGATTCTTTTAACCAAATCATTGTCACTTAAAATGTACGCATCAGAATTATGTAGACTTTATTTGAAAAAAGGGGGCTAGGAGTCAAAAAGTGATAACCAACCTAACCTGAAAATGTGAATCTTTAGAAATCAAATATATTTTTTCCATTTTACTCACTTTTTATCTGTGCTCATTCTTATTTATGCTTAGAAAAATAATTCCCTTCTACTTATTCATCTAAATTTAAATTCAGTACATTAGCTTTAATATTATTGTCATCTAAATATTCATCAAAATTATCTGAAATTTTCAAGAAATATATCATGTCTATCACATATACTATACACATAATTGTAAAATATGACATTTGAGAATCCTGCAATTAAGCACAAATGAGAAGATATAAAATATGTGTTTACTGTGTAAATGATTGGCAGGGTTGAACTATGTGTTCTCAAATAACCACTATTTGTGATTTACTCATTTGGAGTGATTATATAATTTATAGAATGCTGTAGGAGAGCTCTGAGGTATTTAAAAGAATGATTTTTTTATGCTGTATGTTAAGAAATAAAGTTGGATAAAAAGAACCATCATACCTAGTGACAGTATTATTCCAAGCAAATAAACACTGTGGCCCATGGACTGGATTACAAGAATAATAATCAATGGCAAATAAAGAAACAGATTCTCACTGTGACTTCCCCCCTTACAGTTGTGTGTTTCTTCTAAGTACAGATTGATTTAAATTGCTACTTGTCGTTGACAAGAATTGTTGGTTCCAAAATAAACCTAGACTGTTGTTTGAAGAATGTGGTTCCTAATATTTTCTATTACTCCAGTGAAAAAAAGAAGAAGAAGGAATTTTTGGTAGTATGTGAAGGTCTTTGTATTTTTATTGGCTACTTACATAGTCTCAAAAAAAGATCCTTAATCCTTTAAAAATGACCCAATCAATTCATACATTTAGCATAATTTACCAACATTTCCAAACACAGCATGGAAAAGCCATCAACATGGCACTAGGTCATGGGTCCTGAATGAAGCCGTCAGCAAGGATTAATAAACTTTGACAGCTGCCCAAAAGCTTTCATTCTTTTTATTTAAACATCAGATTGCAAACTGAAATCCAGTGTAATCTTTGTTGAAACTAGCCCAACCAACATGGAAGAAGTCAGAACTGAGAACAGATGACACTAAGTAGTTATTATTGCAAACTCAGTCCATAGCCATAAACTCCAGAATTTGCATAATTAGAAATTCTTAAAGAACTTCAGGAATAGCATAAATGATTCTTATCTATTTCAATAACTTCTAATAATATTTTTGAAAACTATTCTGATGAAACAAAAATTACTTTGTTCCAATTTCTATGCTCAATAAATTAAGTATTCTTCAACTATTAGCCCTTTCATATTGCAATTTAAAAGTGAATCTAATGAAAACTATAGTTATAAAATATCTTGGGATCACATAATTTTCCTGGGAATTAGTTACCAGAAAAAAAAAAAGCTGAACACATGACTAAGCATACTCTATTATGTAGAATTGTTATTAGACATTTTCTACACAAATATAACACCCACATATACTTACAGAAAGGTGAAACTGGCCCTGAAAATATTATTCACTCTAATGTTCTAAACAATGATTAGATATAAATCTAATGTTTTGACAATCAACTCACTAGACTAAAGGTGTATTATTTTCTCAAGTGCATTTTAATTAATATACACGATTTCCTAACGATAGTAGCAGAATATCAACACAAAACATTTATCAAATAGCTTATAAATCATTTGAGCTTACCCCCTTTTCAATACTCGCACTTTGACAAAGTGTTCCCTCAGCTGGAGGAATACTGTTGGTGACACAGCGGTTGCTTTGGCTGAGACACCAGAGCTCTCTACACACTTCCTAGGAAAGAAGGCAAAAGCAAGTTGATCAGAAGTAAAGACTACGATCACGTCCACTCTTCCATAAAATACACCCGCAGACACGTAGCACTGTTTGTTTCTTGCTGGTACTGACCCATCAAAGTGAGGATTTTGGAGGAGGCTCTTACGGAAGGCGGGTTGTCCATTGTCCAGAATCATGTAAATGCTTGTCTTTAAAACTCTCATTTTAGTGGATAAAGTATATCTTAGTTTTTAATATTGATTAAGCTCTTTTAAAAGTAATGTGCAGAAATTCTATTAACAGGGAAGCGTAGGGGGAAAGAACGAAAGGGAATATATGCTTAATACTCTCAAGTATAAGAACAAACTTACCAATTACTAATAGAGTGGTGCTAGGTATTTGACTTCTTAGATCTACTGTAATATTCAAGAAAAGATCATTTTAAGAAGAAAATAGAGACCATAGGCATGGGCAGGGAATAATTTCTAAAATCCAAAGTTGCCTAAACAATCTAGCAATGCTATTTGCAGTTCATCAATGTAGTCCACCACTTTTGTGAAAGGGAAATTTGGTTTTGAACAAATGCTGATACTTGTAATTGATATATTATAGTTCAGATGTTATTGGGAGCTGTCTTTTTTATTATGGTTTTTTATTGTCCTACATTATTATGGGAAAATTACAACACTTATTCTAATATCAACAATATAAAAAAAAAACTCATTTGGTTCACATGCTATCAGATCTTAAAACAAGCTGTTCAACATCTACTTGAATAAAGTGTTTTAAATAAAAGCCAAAAAAGCTTACTTTGAAGAAACTGAAAAATGTCAATTTCTCTTTATATATAATCATCAACCAGCATTATTAATGATATTGCAAGTTTTTCACTTAAACTAGAACTACTGAATATAAAATATCTTTTTGCAATAAAAAAATATTCTGGAATGCAAAGATAAACTTATATATAACATTCATTTTATTGTTATTATTCCCTACCTACCCTTTAAACCCTCAAAACTTAAATCACATGTCACAAAACAAAGAAATTTTGTGACCATGTATGGTGATAGATGTGAACTAGACAGTGTGAAGCTCACAAGATATCCAAATACTGAATCATTATACTGTACACCTGAAACCAACATAGGATGTAGCAATTTTATCTCAATTTTTTAAAAAAATGTTTAAAAGAACTAGTGTCATGCTAACACGATTCAGAAATAAAGCAGCAGTAACAGTGAATTAACTCAAAGGTTTCTAGAAAATGGGAATGCCCCACAGGGTAAACTGAAGGAATCTCTTTGGATCCTTCCCTAGCATGCTCCTCTAAGCCCTCTCACCAGGCATTCCAGATTAATGCATTTTTATTGCTTTCTGCTGAAAGGTGATAAGTGCATTCTGCGAGGAACCTAGCATTCTGCAAAATCATTTATGAATAAAAGAGGGTTTATGGTGGGGGGAGTTAGAGGAGACCACTTAAAACCTATATAACTTAGTAGCCACTAAACAAACAAAAACACCCACAGTCTAATTAAGCATACGGACACTTAAATCCCTGCTGGCCTTAATTCCCCAAGCAATTGCTCCTTTGTGGTCTTAACCCTGTGGCTTGTGATGCTTCCTTCTTAGAGAAATAGGTCTTTGAGGGTAGCTGCCTCTAACAGAGACCACTTTCGTAAAAATTAAGACTTAGATTCAGAGTATAACTTCTTTTTATTGTAACTATATAAAATGATAGATGTGAATTAAACCCATTGTAGTAGTCATTTCACAATATTCGTAAATCAAACCATTATGCTGTACACCTTAAACATGCACAGAGATATATGCCTGTTATTTCTCAATCAAACTGGGGGGGGGGGGGAGAAGGAAAATATAAATAAAAGCTAAGAGGGAGCCGATTTCAGGTCAATGTATAAAAATACCTTCTAAAAGTCAGAGCTGAACAATGATGAAATAAAATCAAATCTGCCCTCATTGGAGAAGCGCCAGGATGTATACTTTATGCCCCATAGCAGGAATGTTTCAGGCAGGAAAATAAGTGAAAGCAACTAACACTTAATCAGGGAATACTTTCAACTACTGTTGTAGGCATATTTATATTTGTATCTCATTTAATCATCATGAAAATCTGTTTAGAAAGTGTGAGAAACATTATAGTTTCAGAAAAATTTAGCAACTCGCTAAATCCTAATTAAATCTAGATCTGAAACAGGCCTGGCTACTATCAATGTCCAAAATACCCCTAAACAACTAAGCTAGTTTCTTATTTCTCTTAAATATATCAGAATTACCTGATGTTCAGAAAATAACTCTGTAAAAAACTGAACTAGAGCTGCTTTGATCAAAACAGAATAATTGAATTATTTTATAGTAAAAGACCCTTTCAAAACAATAAAAGAAATTAGAATTATATTCTCTAGAATTTCCATCCTTTTCATGTAATTATAGCTGTAAACGATACTAATAAGTTAGGGGGAGACACCCTTTTATTTACTTGAGAAAACTAAAATAAGCCATTTACATAAGGGGGAGAGAAATATCATAAATGTGCAAATGCATTTATATTTATTATATCATTAAGGAGTAAAATAGAATCTGAAGAGAAAATGACATCTTTATTGCTGGATTTTTTTTTAATTTTTACATTTTAAACAACTGTAGAGATCATAAAAGTGATACAAATTTTCTACCCTTGGAAACCCTAAACCCTATGCCATTTTGGGTCCTTGACTGTGGATATGACTTTGTCCTCATTACCCGATCAGTAACATCTCTCAACAGCTGTTTGCAATAAAGGGTCTTGATAGCCAAGGGGGAGAGCAGAGCCCTAAAGAGGTCAAGAAGGAGCATCAATGATTAGAAAGGTTACTTATCAATGTATCACACAAAAGAAAATTGAAAACCAACATATGGTGACCCCATGGCCTGGCTCCAGGTGTTTAGTAACCATCTGAAGAAAGAGAATAATGTGCCCTTATTTCAGCTTTAAATAGGTTAATCTTGTTGTGTGGGTAATTTAAGTGCAAGAGAGTTTAGAAGAGCAGTGTGTGTGTGTGTGTGTGTGTGTGTGTGTGTGTGTGTGTGAAACAAAAACTAATTTGGATAAATAACTAATCATCAATTTGAAGGAGTTAAAAATGATTAAATGGTTTTTTTAAAAAAAATACCTCTAAGAAGCAAACCCAGAATGAAAACTACTGAGCTTTAAATATACAAGTGATTATGAACCTATCTGGCTTGAATTTTAAGGGGAAAATAGAAATTAAATCAACTTCTTATCTAGTATATACTTGGTAAATATACATATTTGGACTCCAAACAATATTGAGGGGATAAAATAAGTCCATGTCTTTTTATTCCTTAAATCCATACCAGACCACACGGTAGAATAGTTATACTGTCCTACAATCCTAAAACAAAGTGATTTTACAATCTTCTTCAGTGCAAAATTCCAATTTTAATCACTTGAAATTGTTCCTACTATCTAACCTACAACCTTCCAACTATAATAATTAAGGCCACTGTGCTTTTTAATGCTCTTGGTAGAGAAGGAGAACAATGTGTTACCAAACTATAATAAATGTTCTGAAGTCTTAAGATGGTTTTGAGGCCAACATTTAGCTTTCTGTTTTACAGGATACTCAAATTTAATTTCTTTAAATTCCCTTATATGTACTTGTAAGTATTTCACTGAGATTGAAGAATGAATCAGTGTGACCCTTTAAATATCTTCGTATGCTCCCAAACGTACAGATGGTTCATACTCTCCTAAAGCAATACCTGCAAGCTGCTCTACAGAGATGGTATCATGGATGACAGATCTTCATAGAGAAAAGCAAACATGATTGAATGTCCGTCATGTGCGGGTAAATAAAAAGCACTTTGCATGCTTGTCATACGCTTTTGCTGTCTGAAGTTTACAACAACTTGGCTGTTATTCACTGGAAAAAGTCTCTAAATAAAATCTACTGATGGTCAATTAGCTAATGGTAAGGAGTCTCGCTATTAAAAAATATTCCTTCAAAAATTACCTTATTCCATAGTGAAACCATGTGTTAGATCAAATGTTCCCATTTATGCTTCAAAATACGTGGTCTATTAATAAAGCATGAAGTAAGCAACAACAACCCACTATTTGCATTTATGTGCTAACTCTTAAATTTATGTAAACAGTAACAAACACAAACATCACAGATGATAATAATTCTTCAAAAATTAAACAAAGCTATGTTGCCTATAAAATTTGTCTGGTTTTGTCCTGGGTCTTACATCTAACTGTGATGAGCACTTTTCTTTCTTTTTAAAACTACTTCATTGAGATATGGTTGACATACAAAAAATGTACATATTTAATGGATATAATTTGTTAAGTTGGGAGAGAAAGTATATAATACACCCATTAAACTATCACTACAAACTAGGCCATAAAGATCTGCCACTTCCAAAAGTTTCTCCCACCTTTACTTATTATTTTATGTGTATGAAAATTGATAAAAATTGTCTCCTGAAAAAAAAATTGTCTCCTGAAATAAAATACACCTGCTATCTTAATAATATATTTAATATATAACCCATTTTTATTGTTTACCTTAAAGTAGGTAAATAATATTCTGTATTTTTAGTTACCTTATCTATAAAACATTATAAAATAATTACAATTTTAATCAAAGCAATCTGAAGTTCCTCACAAAAAAAAGACTATGTAAATATCATTTATAAACTATATATCATTTATAAATTACTATATTATACAATTTTGCATGTTGTGGTCTTTTGCATTTATAGCCATTACAATCTCCTCATACTTGTTTAAGATTGTAAATGTTAATATCTTTTCATTTTCCAATTTCATTTGATATCTATTACAAAAGTTTATAAATGCATAGAGAAGAACTGAAAATACACAATTTCTCAATTACTATTTATCTCACTTCATATCAACTAGTCTGAAATAAATGAGATATACATATATAGAGATAGGCTAATCAGGACAATTTTTTTATTAGTTCATTGAAGAAAAAGTACATCCATATATCCTGTAGAACTGATAATACAAATTATCTAATATGGAAATACTAGAGGCCTGGTGTATGAAATTCATGCATGGGTATGGTCCCTAGGCCTGGCCTGCAATCAGGGCCATATTCCACAGCTGCTAGCAGCTGGCCCTGCCCCCCGCCACCAGCTACTCCCAGTCCCCCATTTGCCATCGGGTGATTGGAGCCAGCTGGGCGAGAAACAGCCCAAGAGATGGTAAGTGTGCCTCATGGTGACTGGTCCAGAGATCATTCTGGTCATTCTGCCGTTAGGGTCAATTTGCATATTACCTTTGTATTATATAGGATATATGTAGTGTTAAAACCCAATTTCCAATTGAAAAACTAAATTAACTATTTCACTTGCTAACACCAAAAAGAGAGACCATAAATAAGAATAATTAACAAAATCTATAATTTTATTTGATCATGAATTTCAACTTACTAAACTACAACTATATACTAAGACTGAGATTAAAGTTTGGCTGACGTTTTTCTGAGAAAAAAGCAATTCAAGAAAAAAAGAAACTAAAAGCATAAAGAAATAAGAATAGAAAACTCTACAGCAGAGAGAGATAAGAATGATCAATGTTTTACTAAAGACTATTGCACACAATCTTTAAATCCAGTGCATAAAATGTGCTGTCAAAGCTGACCATGAATCATAATAGGATTTTCACTGAACTAAGATTTTTTAAATCACTTTCCTTTGTACTGTACAAAGAGAAACAATTGGTACAGTACAGCATATATTGTTTCATCTTAACTAGGTGAAAACATAATTCTTTTTATTATTGTTTTTTAAAAGGCATTTTAAAAATTTGCATAAAAATAGAAACCAAGTCTTTAAACTTATTTCTCACAGGGAAGAACCAAGATGGCGGCATAGGGCAGACACCCAAATGCAGCCTACCACAACAAGTTTGAATTTAGAACTGAAAAACAGGGGAAACATCACCCTGAGGCGCCAGACAGCTGGCTGAGGGGAGGCTCTACCATCTGGGAAGGAGAGAGAAGGCGTGCTAAACCTCAGGAACTGTGAAGGTACGGAAAACTGTGTGCGCAAAAAAGCGGCCACAGAGTTCCCTGCTGGCTTGCTTGAGGAGCGCGGAGAGGGCCGCCAAGTTTGCTACCGGCTTACTCCCTGCGCGGAGAGGGCGGACAGCTAATGCGTGGCTGGCTTTCTTGTGCGGGAGGAAAACAGAACCACCCTATTGCGCTGATAGAGAGGCCAGACTGTTGGGCAGTGGGCGGGGATCTCTCGGAGGTGTGTGAAGCCAGCGGCCATTACTACGGGACTCAGAAACCAGACCCTCATAGGGAGGGGCTGAATATAGCTTGTCTGCACCACCCGAGACTACGCCCCATCCAAGCAGAGCACAGAGGCCCTTCTAGTGGCTAGCTTCCTCATTCACTGCCAATAGGACTCTCCTAGGGAGGGGCAGCAGGAATCTAAAGCTTGTCTGCACCTATACCAAAGAGGTGCTCATGCCTGCAACCAATTGTGCGAGACTCAACAAAGCTTGTCTGTGCCACCCTGAGACTCCTCCCATCCAAGCAGAATACAGAAACCTTCCTAGCTGAGACACTTCTGATCCTCATAGCCAATTGGCTTGGAGATCAACGCTTCCCAGTGATATCAACAACTAACAAGGCTTAACAACAAGACTGCACACACATCCCACAAAGGGCTACACCAAGACTGTCCACCTCAGGTAACTGGGAAGCTGACTCACTGAACCATATAGGACACCTTAGCACACAAAGCCACCCTACCAACTCAGGGAAGCTGTGAAAATGCCAAGACAAGGAAATAGATCACAAACAAAAGAAATGGAGGAAAAGATGAGACTGGATATAGAGTTCAAAGGTTTTTCAAGAATTTCCTAGAAAAGGTCGATAAGACCTATGAGGAGATGAAAAGGGATCAACAAGAACTCATAAGGGATCAACAAGAAATAAAGAATACATTGTTTGAAATAAAAAATATTATACAGAGCCCTTAAAACAGAATGGAAGATCGCAAGAATCAAGTCAAAGATTTGGAACATAAAGAGCCAGAAGACACTCCTCCGCAGAAGCAAGAAGGCAAGAGAAGCCAGAAAATTGAAGATAATGTAAGAAACCTCTGGGACCAACATCAGAATTATGGGGGTCCCAGAAGATGAGAGAGAACAAGATATCGAAAACATACTGAAAGAAATAGTGACAGAAAACTTCCCCCACCTGGTGAAAGAATTAGACTTACAAGTCCAGAAAGCGCACAGAACTCCAAACAAAAGGAATCCAAAGAGGACCATACCAAGACACATCATAATTAAAATCCCAAGAGCAAAAGACAAAGAGAGAATATTAAAAGCAGCAAGAGAAAAGCAGGTAGTTGCTGATAAAGGAGCACCCATACGATTGTCAGCTGACTTCTCAACAGAAACCATGCAGGCCAGACGGGAATGGCAAGAAATATTCAAAGTGATGAATAGTAAGAACCTACAGCCAAAAATAATCTACCCAGCAAAGCTATCACTCAGAATCGAAGGCCAGATAAAGAGCTTCACTAATAAAGAAAAGCTAAAGGAGTTCAACACCGCCAAACCAGAATTATATGAATTGCTGAAGGGGGTTCTTTCGGAAGAGAAAGTAAATAAAGATAAAAACTATGAACAACAAATACCTAACTATCAACAAGTGAATCTAAAAACCAAGGAAATTAAAAAAAAAAATCTGATGAACAATATTAACTGTTGAATATAATAGAATCAGAGGTATGGAAAGGGAGTGAACTGACGATTCTCGGGAAAAAGGAGAGAGGGGGATGTGGGAAGATATTGAACACAAACTGTACACCTTTGAATGAGGACAATGGGGGGTGGGGAAAGGACAGAAGGTGGGGTGGGAACCTGGTGGAGGGGAGCAATGGAGGGGGGGGAATGAGGAACATTTGTAATAAAATGAACAATAAAGATTTATTTTAAAAATAAATAAATAAATAAATAAAATAAACTTATTTCTCACTCCTGAATATTTTTGGACAATTTATTTAAATTTCTATTTTTTTCTTTCAACATGCTTGCCCAGCTGGCATGTCTCAGTGGTTGAGCGTTGCCCTATGACCCAGGAGATCAAGGTTCGATTCCGTGGTCAGGGCACATGCTGAGTTGTGGGCTTGATCCTTGGTGGGGAGTGTACAAGAGGCAGCCAATCAATGATTCTCTCGCATCATTGATGTTTCCAGCTCTCTCTCTCCCTCAACCTTCCTCTTTGAAATCAATACAAATACATTTTTAAAAACATGCTTATAATGTGTACCGACTATAAACATGTCCCTATCCTAAACACCGAAATCTTTCTCTATGAAACTCAAGAAGAATTTTGTATTCATTTTTCTGAGCTAGACACAGAGTTCTTTAGGCAGTCATGGAGAGTCAATCATAGTATCTTTTTTCCCACAACAATTTTCCTTGTTTCTCTATTTGGGTTAGCATCATCCTGTTCCACATGGTTGTTGTGTTAGCATGTGAGCAATGGACTGAAGAGACTTGAAATGACTCAGTACTAGAATATATAAAATAAAGGCTTCTCCTAGCCAATATAAAAATGCCCTTAATGCAGTTTATTAGAGTACCAGAAAAGGTGAGGGTGAAGGTGAGGGAGAGTTTTCAAAGCCATAACATTTCCTAAGATAAATTTCAGTTGACATCGTAAACTTAGGACTTAAAGAAATACAATAAAAATTATAAAAGACATTTGAAAATTATTTAATATAGGATTATGCAAACATTTAGAAATAGATACACCAATTTCAGAAAAAAAGCAGTATCAAAGGCAATTTTTGCATTAACAATGTTATCAGAGGTAAAGTATACTCATCAAAACTCTATCCTAACATTTATATCATGAAAGATCCACATAGAAACAACTAAACATAAGGATTGAGACTTCTTACCCCAAATTTACATTGGCGGGATCCTTCTCCGTACTGGTACCGACATTGCTCATCAGCATCGTACACCTGACCTGGGGCCACAGTTGGGTAAATAAATTCACGCTTGGGAGGCTCATTATTAAGGCAAGTGCCACGGCCTGAACTGTTCAACACAAAGGATCAAAGAAAATTAGGGACACTATGGACCATATCAATCACAATTATGAAACCAGGTATTGAGCTCTTTGTTTTAATAACGTGATGCATGAAAAACAATACTTCCTACCAAGAAATAATCACATGGCCAAATAACTTGACTGAAACCTGAACAGGAGTTCCATTCTTTTTTCCAGCACCAAGACATAATAAAAGTATCTCAGACAACAATCCGAAAATGCTGGTCTTAAAACAGATTTAAACTAATTTCTGAAGGAATCAAAACAGAATTTCATGTTGCTGTAAGTTTCTTGTTTGCTTTCAGTGAAAATATAACCACATCTGGTAGTAGATTTAAAAACATAAAATGTGGGGGGAAAATTGTGGTTGTAATCCTTAAAGACTTAATCTATATATTTCCACCTTGGGCAGAACAATATATGACATGTCCAAAGGTTCTTGAAATATTTCAATAATAAACGAGCTGAATGGCAGATGAGGCAAAGATCCAAAGTTCTCCTCTCAAGTATATTACAAATGTTTAGTCTCTCAAAAATTTCATATTTCATTTAGGGTCATCAGAGTTAAGAAAGGGAATGTTCTCCTCTCTATATAATTTTTGCTTTTCAAAGTGTGTTTGTACTCAAACGTAATATTTTAATTCAGTGGAACAAATAACATAAAGATTGCCAAAACCCAGACAGAATACCTTAGTTTAAAGAGCTTTATACTTTGCTAAATATAATTGTTCATTTTATTTAGTCAGTGTGCATAAAATAGGACAGATGCTTTTGTACTTTCATTTCACATGTAAGTTAGAATTTTTAAAGAATTCCTATGCCAACATTTAAAAATTTTTTCCAACATTCCTGTCAATTGTGCCAGCACTTGTGTTTTTTTTTCCCCCAAAATCTTTTCCATCTGCTTTGCCAAAGGAAAATAATTTCACAAGTATAAGTTCTTCAACTATTATTTAGGACAGTACAAACTTTCATTTATAGATAAGTAGAAAAGAGACATGCATTATAGTGAGTTTGTTATTTGCTTAAAATTTTATCACAGTCTTAAAATGTATAAGTTCATTTGCTATCTACAAACGTATTTGCACTTCAGCAAATTAATACCTTTTAAAAATTGAAACTTATTATTCATAAGGTGATAGATTAAAAGATCCAAGGCTGGTAATGCGGGGGGATCCAAAGGACAGAATACTGTTTTCTTTACACATTTTTCCTTTCATTTATGACCTTCTTGATTAATTTTTAATCAATAAATTATTTAGATGGAATATTCAATATGGTACTAATACAGAGGGATTTTACTATTGGCTATTACAATCAATTCACTTGTCACTGCTCAAGGTTTCTATCTAACAGAGAACAACTTTTTTCACCCAGCTACCCAGTATTCATGACGGAATGCTTTTTATTTCTTGTTTTTTGTACTTTTTAGAAATTGCCATGTATTTCAGTAAGACAATTATTTCTTATTAATTTTAGAAACAGCAAGTTCTTTTTATGTTATAATATAAAACATCTTTAACCTATATGCATATGCAAATTTTAGGCAAATGTAATTCTACTAGTAAACTCAAATTTTTATACTAAGGTTAATGATAAGAAGGTCAAGGCAAAAAATATAATAAAAGAAGATGCACCATTTTGATAACATGCAATAGTTATTAGATTATTGGATTAGTTGTTTAATTCCTTAATTGTCTTTAAAAAATGTCTCTGCAACAAAATTATAAAAGTCTTGATGAAAGGAGTTAAATATGTAATAAAAATGTTATCAAGTTAAGTACTATTCTAGATCAATGGGGAAATTTTAAGTACTGAAGTTCTTAAGTACAGGGTTCTACAAGTAAATACGTAAAGCAGAAAGTATAATTAATTATATATTCACTGAAGTATATAATATGTAATCACCTACATGGCACCAATTAAAAACCTATTTAAAAATTTATACATAATTACTTTTAGGAATACAGAAAATTCACCTAAAATATTTATAGGAAAAATTATGTGGACCCCAAAAGTTTAAGCCTAGATAGGATGAGAAAAAAATTCCTTCTTGATAGTGTACTGAAAATTGACTTAATCCAGGAGTAAGTGACAATACTTATTCTTTTTAAGTTCTTGGATATTAATGGTCTTCCAATCACGGTTCCTGCTCTTTAAAAACACCAAATGCAGAGACCATTGCCAGGGCCTCCAGACAATGAAGAATGCCATGCGCTGTGGTCACTGTGGCCAAATTCTACTCAGTCAGTGTATCCCAAACTGGATTTGTGTTTCAGTTCTTGGAATAACCTATTCCTACATATTAAAGTGGTCTCACTAAATATCTACACAAGTCTTGTTCTCCGTTTCCAGTTATGTTTTACAAAAGAATAAAATAACATGTAGAACAAAATATAAGCAAAAAATCGTATAGATCCTTAAGAATGAACATGCATATTTAGGAACATGACATCAACAAGGCCTTTTGAGATGGGTTTGGTGACATTTGTACAAATCACCAATGTTTGCAAGTCAAGTGTCATACCTATTATTATCGGCTCCAGGAAAGCAAGTATGGGACAAGGCTGCTTTAAAGTGTTTCTATTAATATATACTACATGGTTTCCTCCTAGTAACCATACCTGGTATATATTATACAATAAAATCTTGCTCAAAGTATTGGGGAATGGGGTCATTTTCATATTTTAATTTTTAACTGAGGGTTAAGTGGCAAAAATACTTTTGCATAAGGTTACTAACGTTTGTCTGCTACTTTCCTGTGAATTTCAAGTAGAGATTTATATTAACCCTGGAAGTACTTTTCTTTATTTTTAAATTACCAAAGTAGTATATCCCAATTAGACCCCTCATGTCACTCAGGAAGTAACTAATATTCTGATTGTTTAATAACAATTTTCTTCATTGTATTAGTAGTTTTACCTCCCAATATTCAGCTACCTGATTTTGGAGTCTGTAAGATAGAAGTCATATTGTAGGTTTTCCTTTGTGACTTTATTCTTTCACTCACTCAGTACTAGGAATGTGGGACATATCCATATTGATGTGTAGAACTATAGCCTAACCATTCATATTGTTCTTTGACATTCCATTTAAGACTATACCACAAATATCAAATGAGCATGTGAATTACTTCTAATTTCTAGAAATTGCAAATTATGAGGATAAGAATATTTTTGTACAGGACTCCTGTGCAAATATTTTCTCTTAAAAATATTACAGATGAGATTTTTGTTTATATTTTATAATTATTTCCTTTTACAAAGTGGAAGTTATGAGTAATTTTTATTTAATCCAGGGTTCTAGCTCATCAGTTCAATCATACAATTCTTATGATGATGAATCTAGTATTATTTATGCTACTACTATCAAAATAATAACAGTGGTAATATTACATATAATATTTTCTCATCAAATAGCACTTTTAAACATAGTTTGTGTTTTAATGACATATGAGAACTTTTCCACTCAGAAAACATAAACCTCACTCAGTCATCATTAAAAAATGAAGGATACTGTTAGTAGTTTCCATCTGGGATGTTAATGCAACTCACTATTGTTAAGTATAATATACAGGTGTCTAGAGCAAAAGAATAAACTTAAAAAGTAGAATTGTGATTATTTCCCTATCCGCATATATTTCATAACTAAAAGCCCAATCCTAGTTAAAATATACAGCACTATAGATAACTATTGAGTTCACAGACTCTGCTTTTGTTATGCTTCTAAGACAAGGCAAAACAAAAAATGTCTATCAGTTTGAAGAACATGCTTTTTCCTTGACTATGAAATTCTTAGTAAATCAAAGTATATTTACATTTCCAGAAATCCTCGTAGCATGATAGCAAAGTCATATTTTATGTATTCTACTTCTAATTTAGAGAAGTCTTATTTACATAGCTCAAAAGTTAGCCTTGAAAATAGAAACGTGAGCCAGAGTTGAGTCTTCAAGTAAAATTTACAGACCCTTACATAAAATATGCACTCTTGGCTTTGTTTCCAGAACACATGAGGACATACCCCTAATTGTAATTGTAGATTTATTTTTCACTTCAACAATTATACAATAAAGCAGTGGTTGGCAAACTGCTTTGTCGCTTTGTTGACTAATGAGTTTGCCGACCACTGCGATAAAGTATAGATAGACCTTTAGTCTATAGTATAATGGGTCAATCTAAAAAATAAATCTTTCTATATAACTCTGTACATATCTTAACAGTCTTTGAACAACAACAACAAAAAGTTAACTTAATAATGCCCTCTGATATTATTTTCCACAGAATTGTGCTCATAAACTAAACTAAGTAAAAATGAATTAAGTTGGTATCATCTACAAGTGAAGTTTCTTACCTACTATGTTCTCATAAACTGCACTACCAGTCTTCACAAAACTAACCATACATTCCATCCTAAAATGAGTTTCTTTAAGTCAGATCTTCCTTTCTTATCCTCTGGATGAGAACAAAACTGAACTTGAAGCTTCCAATATACAAACACAGTATCAATAACGGTTCTCTAAGTTACGCTCTCTTTTTCTCCATATGCGATTAAAACTTATCGATGGTATTTATGGGTTTGAGTGAAGTCCCCCAAATGTGTCAGAAACATGGAATGAGGAGAAACCTGTTTTTCTAAGCTGTTCCATGGATTCCATGTAAAAAAAAAAAAAAAAGAGAGAGAGAGAGATCCCATCTATAAAACTGCTTTCCGTCTAACAGATCATTGACATTAACCTTCAAAAGTAGATACTATAGAAGAAATATGAGTACCTTAGTCATCTTGTCATCTGATGTCACTTCTCTTATGGCTCTGCACTCACCTTTCTTCCTAGCTCAATTGCAACCACAATATTGTCTTTCCTTTTCAGCTTCCATCCTTTCTGTGATAATGGATCGTCTCTATTTAATGTGTAACTATAGGAGATTTTGCTATGGATCTTTGACAGCTCAAACATATAACAGACTTTAATTTAAATAGAGCACGTTGATTCACAGAGGCTTCAGAATTTTTAAAACCTATATGAAATTACTCTGTACTACCACTAAGTGGTGGAAAATATATTGAGGGGCGGGGGACAGAAAAAGAAAAAAAAAAACTGAACTAAATGACTTCTGGCTGCCTCCCACTGCCTGGTAACTTAGCCCAGTGTCATCAGTGAGAGTGAGTCATGATACCAGGTTCATCTTTCTCCACTTTCTAAGTCAGTAAATAAATAAATAAGTCCCGCAGGCAGATAGGAAGGACACTACCTGCAAAGCCGTCGGCGAAAACATCAGAAGCTGGCATAACACGTCCATTCTAACGGAAATAGGCTCTTTATTACTTAATCAGGACGGCTTCTGGGCGATTCATGAACCACTTATTGAATCACCGAGTTTAAGAAATCTGAAAAAAAATATTGGGAGTTGGTAAACACCATCTCCTGGTTGATCAGTAGCACGTAGGGTTTGACACAAGAGACTTTTTACTATATTGGCATGTAAAGGCCATGGAATGGTTTTCTGTTGAACATAGTGAATAGTGAATCTATAAATCATATAAAGCTCATTGTTAAAATCCACCATCTTTGGCCTATACAGTTACTAAGTAGAGAAAGGTATGCATTTTGTTGGCTGTACTACAGTTCCTAAACAATTCATCTTTACAGATTTCTTTTTCTTGAGAGGAGAAACTGAAATAAAATGTTATGAGTCTTTTTGAGCCAACTATAAAACATAAATGTAACCTCAATCCCTGATCAAAATATCACTGGATTTTAAAAAATATCACACATAGCTGCTAAAGCAATTAAGTGCACTGCATTAATAAAAAAAAAAGGAACAAAGAAATTCAAGAAAGTTACTATTATGTCTTTGTGCTCCAGTAAACTGACCTTTTTAAAGGGCTTTGTATTTTAAAAATCTTTACTGCTTAGTCAGATTAGGATAAAGGTTGTTTAGTTTACTTTTAGGGGGTGGGGGGACAATTTTCCCCAAATTACTACCCATTGTCTTTCACATCTGTCTCTCACAAATGGCTTAAATTTTGTGAGTATCCCCAGGAGAATGCAAAACAGAAATATTTTTATAAAATACAGGATAAATAAGCCTATTAGAACCCTGACAATACTAATCATGCTTACACATACAAAACGCAGAGAGATAAGGCTTAAATAAATGCTCTTTGTATTAATTCTTTTAATTAATTCAATGAGACACTTTCTTGTAATCAATAAAATAAGAGTTTTACATCTCTCACTAAACCAGTGGTGATTTCTTAACTATATTTTATCAGCAATTTTGGGATTTCCTTTTGGAGTGTTTTAATAGCCTTAATATTATTTCAATGGGGTAGGTGCTGGCAAGAAATGAAACATGGTCCTTGTATTTAGTATGCCTACAGATACTGTCTAGCAAAGGACTGTGCAATAGAAAAAGAAAAGAGGAGCAAAAAAAAATTGTTCTTGAAAAGAACAAGAGGAGGGAAGCCTTTGAAAATGCACAAGAATACTGAGCATGTTATATATTTGTCTTTCTGGTGACAGATACTAAGATTCCATTAGAAAAACATGAGCCAAGTCAAGGGAGAAATGGCAGATCTGGCTTGATTTCTGGGAAGAGCAGATTTTCAACAATGTTTAAATTTAGGTAATATGATCTCATTTAAAAAAAAATCTTGAAAAATTATATTGCGAGTGCGTTGTGGGGGGAAAAAAAACTACCAAAAGATGTCCAACAAATTATCTGTGATCTATGTTCTATCTTTATAACCCTTTACCCAGTTTTGGCACCAGGCAAGCACAGTGCTAAAATGGTCTGTTATTAGGGTTAAAACTTGTCAGGTTATGCAGCACTACCTTCTAAGTGAATTCCCTCAATTTCATTATTATATTAGTTAATTCAAAAGAGCCCATTTTAAGCATTTATCTTTTGATCTTTGATCGAGTAAAGCACCATAATAGGTATTTTTTAAACCTCTTGTTGAGGCTTTCTAAAAAATAACTATAACTTTTCAGAATATTATCAGAACATTCCTAGCTATGATCCAAAACTTGAACAAACTTACTAGTAGGTTATCCTACATAACCTATCTGAATTTTTTAAAATGCTGCCCTATTACTATGTTAACATAAACTTTGAAGTAAAAGTTTTTAAAAAGAATTTTTAAATTCTGTTTAAATAATCACCTGGGCTTTATGTATGACTCACCTTTTCACAGAGTATTTAATCTCTTCTCCCCAAGGGAAAAAAAATGGCACAAAATTATTGAAGGTAATGACAGAGCCATAGAGCTTAAAACCTTGATATCATTTAAAATAGTAACATTTACCACTTGATGAATGTCTCTTAAGTGTTTTAATACATTTTATCATTATACATAATTATATACAGAATAACTAATGTTGTATATATTATTAACTAAGCTCATTTAAGAAATGGGAATCTGGAGATTAGAAAGCTGAAGTAACATGCCCAAGGTCACACAGTTAGAAAACGAGCCTAAGTCTATTAGTTTACAGAGTTCAATACTGAAGCCCGCTGTGCAGGTGAAATGTGGAAGTGTTCAACACCTGCCTTCCTATTAGCTATAATTTATATTCTTCACAAACTCTTGAAATACACAGTAAAAGGCAATGAAAGAAGGTCCCAAACTGTAGGAAAGATGTGTTTCTTAATAAATTGTCAAGCCTGGCCACTGTGGCTCAATGGTTGAGCGGCAACCTATGAACCAGGAGATCACGTGTTGATCCCAGTACGGGTCATGCAGGAGGCAGCTGATCAATGATTCTCTCTATTAGTTTATGTTTCTATCTCTCTCTTCCTCTCTGAAACCCATAAAAATATATTTTAAAACAAATTTTCAAAGACAAATTTTCAATTTTTCATTTTTATTTCCTGGGTGTTTGATTTTTTATTGTTGTTGATTGCTACTATTAGGTCCTATGGCATTCTTATAGAACTCGGGTATTGTTTTTTTCACCAGTAAATGAAATGTATAACCACTGAATTAAAGTCTGAACTATACTCTATTAAATTGTATTAATCTACATTTTTTTCTGACATTGCTTCCTGTTTAGTGAACATTTCTAACATTCATATCATCAACCCCACTTAAATCCCTGCTTCAGTTCTTCCAATCTATTCTGTAAGTTTTATTTGAGTATGAAGGAAAATATTTGCCACAATGATATACTGAAGTACTTTTGGAACCACCTGAAATATTGCTGGGCCCTATAAAAGGTACTCATTATGCAAAATTTGAAGCACCATATATTAGGCTTCTAGCAATGGCTTACTTCTAGAGTAATTCATCATCACTCTCCAGAGATTACTTACTCTAGAAAGCTGGTGATATAGTCTCGACTGCAGGAAGACCAGGAAAAAGGATTGGTATTTGCAGTAATGTGAGCTGCCATAAGTTTTGCTGTTTCATGACCTTTCGTCCCACAAGGATTTCCAAGTCCATCATGGTTCATACCAAAACTGTTTTAACAAGAAAGAAACATAAAAGAAATAAGAAAAAATAATAAAACAAACCACAATATATCCTTTATTTTCTTATTTGATCATGTATTAGTTTTATTAACATATGCCTTCCATAACAGTAGACAAGATACTATAAGGAAATATAGGCTTAAAGTTAAAGAGACTAAGGAATAAGTCAATAATATGATATATTTCCAAATCTCTTTAAATTTATCATATAATCTCAAATGTTATTTCTTCTTGAACAGATACAGAATATGTATTAATTCTCACTTTATAGATTAGAAAAACAAATTTAGTAAAAATACAAGACCTATTAATGATCACACAGTGTTGGAATTGTTAGCCGAACCTGCCTATTAAGATGCTAGAGTTCATAATTCACTATGAATCAGAAGGGAATTATAAAAAGATGGTTTTGATCCATTGAGTCCTAGGTTGTAGTCCAAACACAAAGTCCTTTTTCTTACTAATATAAATAAGAGAGAATTAAATACATAGACAATTTAGGCTTGTATGTGTTTTCAAAACACATTTTGAAAAGTCTTGACATATTGAATGATTATGGAGATAAAGTTTTTCTTTATTAACATCTCCCTTTATTTTTCAAAGCTTTTGTTTGTTTGTTTGTTTGTTTGTTTGTTTGTTTGTTTGTTTTTGGTGTCCTAAGCCATGTTGAGTGCCATCAATGTGATTTTTAAATATTTTTAATAATACACCAAAAATTTTCTGTAAAGGATACATAACCACTACATATAAATAAATTTTAGCCTTTCATCACAAGTAGCCAAAAGTTCAGGTTGAGTATTACTAAAAAATAAATATGTCTCCATTGTGACATTCTAATAAGTGATGTGTGTTCAAGGAAATAAATGACTTGTGTGACAAGAGTGTAAAATAGATGAGGATAGTTGCTAGAGAAAACAATTGGACAACTAGTTGAGAAGACAATTAATGAAAGTAAATATTAATACATTTGGCAGTGTAGAGACATTGAAGATTTGTAAGAATGGGTGACGATTTCTGAGTAGGAGAATAAGGACTTGATCTGTATTTTAGACAGGTCATCATAATAATTTTGCACTAGAGACATTGGAGTGGGTAGAGAATGGACCCAAGGGGAGCAGATGGAAGGTCATTATCAATAGAAAATGATGTGGGTATGAATTAGAGCATTGGATGGAGAAGTGGGATTAGATTTGAGACATGCATAGAATGAATTGGCCTTTATAAATACGATATAAAAGAGCTATAATGAGGACATATAATATTTTCATACATGGGGGGCAGAAAGGAAAACTAGTATTTCAGGCAAAGGAACTAATATAAGCAAAAGAAGTGTAAGAAAATGTCCAGAAACCCATGTTAAAATACCAGATAACTAACCAAAACACCAATATTTCATTTTCCCACTTAACATCAACATGCTGGAATCAACCTATCTGAATGTTCTTCGAAGGACATGATAGTGGGATTTACAATTAGTTGAATTAGACATATATTCTGTCAAAATAACCAGCTACAACTTTACATAAAAGACTCTTTTGTTCAAATTCTTAATTCAATAAACTTAATATTCTATATTTCTCTGAAAGGTTGGTGCTACTGTATGAGTACTACTATAATTCTTGTCAAATGATAATAACTTTAAAATATTATTTCCCTTTAGCAGCAGTCCCTTAAATATTCCGCAGTCATGCTAAGATAGGTGTAGTTAGGCACAGATCGTTTTAAGAAAATCATTTTCGAGATCTTCAGCTTCCTTATTGTACTCTGTTCTTTTAAAAAATCAAGTTTCTTCTTTTGAAATTAAATTTCTCCCACTTACAAAAGAAAAACTTATTTTTCACCCACCCTCAATTTTACAACAGTTCAAAGTCTTGGAGTAGAAAAATATGGATGGGCATCAAGAAAAGAGAAATGGAAAACATTTGGTGTCAGCTTTGAAAAAGAGTATGGTGTTAATGATTGAATAATAAATATATGAGGTAGTTTCTTGCTTTCATCAAATTTATAGGAGGATATAATCAAATTAACAGCTGATGAGTTGTAAAAATTATTTTTTCATGATATATCACCATGGTTATGTTTAGACAAATAATTCAAAAGAAGTTCAATGAATTGATTGATATGTCTATAATAAACTCCTTTCATCTCATCTACTGACTTATGTAAACAAAGCATTCATCATCTACAGAAACAAAATAAAGAACTTGAACTAATGCTGAAATCCTACCTTATTTTATTTATTTATTTGTTTGTTTGTTTGTTTATTATTGATTTCAGAGAGGAAATCAATGATGATTGCCGAAACCGGTTTGGCTCAGTGCATAGAGCGTCGGTCTGTGGACTGAAAGGTCCCAGGTTCGATTTGGTCAAGGGCATATACATTGGTTGCGGGCACATCACCAGTGGGGGATGTGCAGGAGGCAGCTAATCAATGTTTCTCTCTCATCGATGTTTCTGGCTATCTAACCCTTTCCCTTCCTCTCTGTGAAAAATCAATAAAATATATTTTAAAAAAGAAAAAGAAAAAAAGAAACATCAATGATGAGAGAGAATCATTGATTGGCTGCCTCCTGCACACCCCCTACTGGGGATCGAGCCCACAACCTGGGCATGTGCCCTTGACTGGAATTGAGCCCGAGACTCCTCAGTCTCTATCCACTGGGCCAAATCAGCTAGGATCTACCTTATTTTATAGGAATACAAAGATAAATGCAATAATTAAAAAATACATCTAATTAAAGATACATCTCATTAAAACTTTGCTTTCATATTTTGTTTTTATATTTTATTATTTTTAAAATCTGTAATGTGGATATGCCCCTCTGATCAATCATTAACTAATAATGATTGCTATTTAAAAAAATAATTCAGGAAAAATTCTTTATGATTATAGAAAATTTTAATGTAATTGCTATATATATTTTTATGGAGATATTTTATATAATTAAACATGCTTTTAAGCATAAAATATGTTTAAATATACTTAAAATATAAAATATATATTAGGGTAATGGCCTGGGAGGGAGAGAAGAAGCAAACATATTGAGTTAAAGGGAAAAAATGATTAAGATTTTAACTATAAAATAAAAATGGGTTTGTGTATTTTTTTAAAGGCATACGATAGTTTCCAAATTGCTATGGCATTCAGATTCAATTGGATATTTTTAAAAGACATATATAACAATTTTGTTTTCATATGCTAATATATACAGTATTCCAGAAATTCTATCTTTGTTAGTTACTTAGAAAAAATTGAAAATTTTTATACAGCTGAAAAATACACAATAGGGTACATAGTTTTAAAAAATTCAGAAGTATAAGAGAGAAAAGGGTTTTTTTTCTCTCCTGAGGAAATTATTGAAGAATTTAGAAAGGAAAAAAGAAAAAGTGAAACTCATTAGTGATAAGAGAGAATAAATAAGAGGCCACTTTAAAACCATCATACTGACAAATATAAGAATGTTACCTAGTGCTCAGTGTTGGGAATAATGTAGAGAAACTGGGATCTTAGTTCACGATATTTGTAATGTGGTCAGGGCAGCTGTTCCAGAGAGCAATTCAGCAGTACTTAGTCAGATTAAATAGGCAGATACATTATGACTCAGAAATCCTATTCTTGGATATATATCCCGGAAATATTCCCAAAGAGAATATGCATAAAGATGTTCATGACAGGGTTATTTATGATAGCAAGGAGATAAAGACAATCTAGGTGTCTGTCATTAGGGAATGGATAAGTAAACTTTGGCAGATGCATATTATGGAATACTAAACAGAACTTGGAGTCAGCAAACAAGATACATGTCTACACATAAATATGGGTGGACCTTAAAAATAGTGAAAAATTAAGAAAAAGAACAATGTCTATACACTATATAAACATGTACACAAAAATTACATACACACTTTCATATACTAGGTCAAGGAATTGCTCCAAACTAAAGACTAAAGAGACATAACTAAATGCAATGAAAACTGGATTGGAGAAGGAAGGGAGGTTATAAAGGACATTTCTGGGACAACTGATAAAATTTTAATATGATTGTATATTGATGATAGAAGTATATCAATGTTAAATTTTCTAATTTGACAGCTATACCATCCTATATAATAAAGATATAATATGCAAATGGTCATTACACTGTGAAGCGTAACGACAGACCACATAATGACCAAATCATGGATCAGTAGGAAGGTGGGGCAGCGAGCTACAGGAAGGGGCAAGGCAGCAAGCTATGGGGAGGAGAAATGGAGGGGGAGGGAAGAGCTACTGGGGGGTGGCAGTGAGCTACTGGCAAACTACTGGCACACGGATTCATGCGCAGGGCTATTAGTGGTTATTTAAGAGATTATCTTTTCTCCTTAGGAAATAGATGATAAAATATTTGGAGATAAGAGAAATGTCTACAACTTACTCTCAAATACCTAAGGAAAAAAATTCATGTACATATACAGAAAGAAATAAAGCAAATATTGCAAAATATTAACAATTGAATCTGAGTGAAGGACACATGGAAAGGCTTTTTATTATATCAATATTTCTATAAGTTTGAAATCATTTCAAACTTAAAAAGTTAAAAATGAATACATACATGCACAAAACAACCTGCAATATTTTACAAGGATATGTATGTACTCAAATATGCGCATCAAACAAATGGCAGTGGGAATGGAAATATAGAAACAGAGCAGAAGGGTCTTTACTGGGACTGATAATGATATTATGCCCAAGAACTAAGGTTGGCTGGATAGATGGACGTATGGGTGGGTAGGTAGGTAGGTAGGTAGACGTAGATAGACAGAAAGATGTAAAATAAAGTTTGCTCTTTAGTTTCAAAAATACTGTTTTTTTAAAAGAACAAAACAAGAGAAAGGAGAGAGTTTAGTAAACCTGGGGCCCACCCTGATGAGTGAACAGTAGTAACAAGAGAACACTCCCATGGTTGGTTTTATGTGTTTAATAAAACATTGCAGATTACATAAAAGTA